ATGGAGACATTAGGGGTCTCTAGGACCCCTAATGTCACCTGTGGACCCCAAAAGAAGCTGATGAAGCAGAGATGCTATAGCAGCCAGATGACTGACAGGTGAATGCGGAAGTGATGTAATACACATCACTTCTGCATTCACAGCCCGGATGGAGATCAGCAAGGACCTGATCTCCTGTCCTCCTCCTCCTGACGCCCTCCGAGCCGGTCCCGGGATTCAAGATGGGGCAGCGGATCCCGGGATTCAAGGTGAGGGGTCAGGGGGGGAAAAACCGGCGGCGGCCGCGCGCGGGCGGACGCGAACGAGCACATATAGACGATCAGCGGGCTATGGACCCGCTGATCGCCTATATGTGAAACACCCGATAACGGGTGTGTTTAATCGTCGGGTCTTCTCTGCCCGTGCGTGCCCGCTAGGGGGCGCGCGCGCGAGCAGAAAAAAATTGCCGTCTGGAGACGGCAACCCGCAGATGTAGCAGTGCCGTCCGTCTGTTTTTTTACTACGGGCGGACGGCAAGAGGTTAAAGTACATTCAGCCCGGCTCCGGACAAGCAGAGCTGAATGTACATCGTGGAGCCGCCGCTCGTTTAATACAAGTGGTCTGATCAGACCACTTGTATTTGAGCAGCGGCGATCGTTTCTGCCCACACCCCCCGCCGTAGTTTTCGGGGTCGCCCGCTCTCCCGGGGGACCCCGAAAACTAAGGCACAACTGCTCAGCCATAGAGCCCATGGAGCAGACGAAAAACGTCTGCTCTACGGGCCCTCAGTATTTTCTCGGAGACCGTGGCGCTGTAATCACAGCGCCACCTGTCTCGGCTATCAGGAACTACACAGAACAGCTGTTCTGTGTTGGAGGGCAGGTTCCATAAAGAGAACCTGTCACCTCCAAACTATCACACAGGGGATTTTAATCTTCTATGTAATAGGAAGAACATTAAGGGGAAAAAGTAAATACATAAAAAGTGAAAAAATTTAAAAGTAAAAAAAATAAAATATATAAAGATTTAAATGAAAAAGTTAAAAAAATAAAAAAACCCTGCTGCCCCTGCCATCTGCATGAAAATAAACGCATGCGTAAGACATTCTGCATGTGCTTTGAGATTGCAGCTGCCATTCCATGGTGGTAGCTGGAATTCTCTTACACACACAATGTGCATTTAAGGAGAACTATGGGGTCAGTGTTTTTCCCCATAGTTCTCCGGCTAACGGGAGGACACAAACTAGCGTCCTCCCGTTACCATAAGCTCAGTGAACCGCAAGCTACTG